GTGTTGATGTTGGTGGCCGGGGTGGCTTGTGGTGGGGGACCTGTCCAGTATGAGTGTGGGCGTTCGGCGTCTTGTGGTGGGGTACGTGGTGAGGGAGAGGGTGAACGGCTGGAAAGTCCGGGTGGTAGTGGAAAACCTGGCGGTATGTCGTGTAGAATGGCCAGGTTTCTGCTGGATAGTGTGGCTGTGGGGTTGATGCGGTATTGTCCCGGGAGCCCGGGGCCGGTGGTAACAAATTGGAGGAGCCGACGAGCCTGGGAGAGGTTATCGATCAGGCGGTCCAGCAAGATCAGGTCACCGCGCATTCGGTAAAGGAGGTTGTATGCTCTCTGGTCTTGAAAATAGGTCTGGCTTGGCATAGGTTCAGTGTGAAATGGGTGATGGCGGAGGTGTTGGTTGACCAGAAAGAGGAGGTCCAAAGAGCCGTTGAGGGATTGAAAGCCGGGCTGAGTGCCAATCGAAGGTTGGAGCCAGCTCGGAGGGCGCTGTGGGAGGTAGTGTTCTGTGTCGGCAGTGTTGTTATGAGGGCGAGCGCGAGGATTGGCCATGACAATTGATGGAATGAAATGGCGCACAAAAGGCTGCGGAGCTGAAGTGAGCCTGAAAACTGACAAATCGAAGTTGGGCAACCTGGTGAAAGTAAACTGGACGTGAAAAACTAAATGTCAGTGCACGTCGGTGGATTTGTCCTGCAGCACGCCGTAAAGAGAGGTGGGTGAAACGGGTCAAATGAAATAACTGCCAACGGGCGTAAGTGGAGATTTCTCCGGATGACTGTCTTCACTAAGTGCTCGCTCAGCGGCCGGCGTCAGCAGCACAGCAGCAGGAGTCGTTTGATGTGGTGAAGTCGGTGGCGTTGTTATGGGGGAAGGGGAGAAATCCGGTTGTGAATCTGGTGCTGGGGAAACTGCTGATGTGGGTGTTGGTGATGGGGAAGGTGCTTGTCTTGGTGGTGCTGTTGGTAGCGGTGTGGAGAAGAGTTGTTGGTCCTGCTGACGTTGCATGTCTTTGAGTTCTTGCCATCGGGCCTGGCATTGCTCTACGGAGAAGCCCACTCGGCGAGCCACAGTGGTCCAGTTGGGACGAAGTCTGGGGTTTTCTTTGAGTTCGACCAGGCGACAGTCGGCGTCGCCGTCCCAAGCATCCCAGTCCGCCTGTTGGTTCAGTGGTGGTGGGGGTGGTTGCTTCCGCTTGCGTGTTGTGGTGGGTTGTGGATCTGGGGGTGTTGTGGGAGTGTCGCCTGAGTCTTTTGAGGGTGGTGCTGGTAAACGGAGGGGTGGTCTGGATGGTGCTGAGTCACAAGATGAGGTAGTAGATGGTAAACGTATAGGGTGGTTGGGCGGGGTTGGAAGTGGCTGAAAGTGTTGGCGGAAAGTGGGATCCGCTTGGTGGATATGGTGGAGGAACTGAGTGTGGAGGTGTGCTACACTATCGGTTGCTTGTCTGAGTAGGTTCTGCAACTGCGAAAGTACCACTGTGGTTCTGTGTATGAGAGTTGAGGTGTCGTTGCGTAGAGGTGTCGGTGTGCTGCTCATGATTCGGAGATGTAGGGATGTACAATAGCACGGAATCGTCACGGGTTGCTGCAGCAGCGCGCCAAAGCAGCCGGACAGCGGCGAGTCTGAGGGAGCGCATCATCACGAGGCCGTGCATATGAATTAAGCGAGCATCAAATTTCACAGGCAAAGTACGAAAGTGCAATGCCGGTTGGACAGTCAAGTACATGAGAATCTGACATGTGAAATACTCCATCAGAACAGCCGGTATAAATTGAAGAAAAATTTTCCAGCAAACACTGCAGAGCTTGAAAAATTGAGGGTTCAAAATTCGCGTGGTCGCTGCAGGAGACTCTTTTTGGCTGCTACGAGCAAAGGTTAGGTGGTGGTGTGAGACCAAAAGTGGATGTGGAGGTGGTAGTGGTGTGTAGATGTGGGATAGTGGTGTTATGTGTCCGGTGGAGTGGAATTTGTGGACCAGGCCAGTCCTTTGACAATGGCGTGGTCCGGGTGGATCACCCAGCAGCGGCCTTTCTGATGAAAGACTGCACCATGGTGGTCGTTAAGGAGGTTCATGGCGTGTTCCTCACCTCCGGAGGTATATTTTGTGGCAGCACCCCAAGCAAGGAGTGTGATGATAAGGGAATGGGAGTTCTTGTGGAGTTGCCAGGTGTTGTGGATGATGCGGGCAAGTTCGTTGTGGTCATGGGGTTGGTTGTGGGTGATGCGAACGCCCTGGGCAAAAAATCCAGGGTAGTTGGCAAAGTGGAGTGTGCTGGGTAAAAATCGGCCTTGGCGTAGAATGTTGGAAATGTTGCCGACGGGGCCTGTGTGGCCTGCGTTGATGTGAGCGACTTCCCGGTGGGTTGATGTGGCGCGGGAAACCGCAGGTGGTTCTGGTGTAGTGGCTTTGGTGTTGAGGAAGGGAAGTGAAATGGCGTAGTACTGGAATTGGTCGTATTGGTGAGTTGTGTCGTTCCACTTGGCGTGAGTATATTGTCGGAAATCGGTGATCTCCTTGTAGGTGATGTTGCAGTCTGTGAGGATATTGGCAATGTACTGGTGTTGTGGTCGGTTGGGTTTGTCGAGTTGGGTGGCGTGGAATTCGAGCCATTCCAGGATTTGGTCTGCAGGTGTAAAGGTGTGAAAGTTGGGTGGAGGTCGCCAACGGTTGATTGGGCGACGAAGGACGGCTGTGGTGGGAAATTGAGAGGGGTCTGGGTTGGTGTGTTCAGTGTTAGGGCGTAAATCAATGGGTTGTGGTGGTGAGCGACTGCGGGATGGCGTAAGGCTGGATGTGTAAGTGGATGTTGAAGGCGACCGCCGTCGCCGGGTTGTGCTGTGATGTTTGGAGTGGCGGTGATGGCGATGTCGGCGGCGGTGGCGGTGGCGTCCTCTGTGGTGATGGTCGGACTTGCGTCGGCTCTTGTGGTGGTGGCGGCGACTGCTGTGGGGTGGTTGCGGGGAAGGTGGTTGTGGTGCTGGTGAGGCAGTGGTGTCAGGTTTGTCTGGTGCTGGTAGTGAAGATCCGGGCGCTGGTGTGGCTGATACTAGCGATGGGGATGCAGAATGTTGGGATACGGTAGCTGGAGGGGTCGTGTTTTGGATCGGCAATGGAGTGTCCGGGGCAGTCGTGGGGATGGGTTGGATTGGTGGTGTTGGATCCGATGGTGGCTGCTGTTGGAGTGGAGGTTGGACTGGTGTTGAGGCGTTGATGGTTTGTGGAGGTGGTGGCGGGGGCAACGGTTGGAGTGGAGGCTGTGTGACTGGGGGAAAGGCTGAAAAGGGCTGCCAAACGCCCTGGGGGATGGCGCATTGGGGGTCTGTGGATGGATAATTGGTAATCGCAGTCTGTTGCTGTGTTGGAGGGGGATGGGACAGGGTAGTGGGGGGAGGAAGTTCTGCCGGTGGTGTGGGATGTTGTGGTGGTAACAGGTATGAAGGGGGAGGTGCTGCTGTCGGAAAGACTGGAGTTGGATGTGTGGGCTGCGGTGGCACGTGACATGGTTGCACAAACGTCCAAGTGGATGGTGTGCCGTAGGTCAGTGCAGTGGCGGTAGGGTTGGACAAGAAAGGTGGTGGTTGAAATGGTTGTGGTTGTGGGTGAGGGTATGCCGATGGTTGTGTCGTGGGAAAGGTGGGTGCAGTTGATGGCTGTGGCAGCGGCCATGTGGGTTGAGGTTGTGTGGTAGGTAATGGTGGTGGCGTGGTGTGAGCGTAGGGCAACGGAAAATGCATGTCGTGGTCATAGCTATGGCGCGGCGCGGCGCGGCAGCAAAAAGCAGCGGAGAAGTGCCGAGTTGTATTGTCTTGTTGTTGTTGAAGGTGTCATCTCTGGTGTCGATGGTGAGTATGTTGTAAGGTGGTGCTAGATGTGAGCTTGTTGGTAGGTGTGTGTTCATGCATCTCGAATTAAGCTGAAGAGCTGTAATGCCCATCCTTGAGTTCTGTCGATAAAAGAATCACGGCATCAATATAGCAAACGTGGAAACACGCACATGATTTGAAGACATGAAATGAAATGACGGATCCGAGATCTGAAATCTGAAAACTGAAAGTTGAAATCCGATGTATTCTTCAAGAAACCGTTTTTTGGCCCGGCGGCCGGTGTGGCAGTTGATTCTGTGAGGGTGTCGGTGCCTTCCTGTGAGAGTCCAGTGAGCGGTGGTGCGTTGGGGTGGTTGCTTTCCCATGCAAGATCGGCGCCCCTGTGACGGGGATCACACTCAGCACCCGAGTGGGACGGCTGAGCAGGACACACTTCGAACTTTGGTTTTCAGTTAACGCAATTGTCTCGTTGGGAAGGAAGGTGACAGAACCGCAAGGTGGAAGAGTCGGCGACAAACAGTATGGTTTAACCGTGTTTTCAGTGGCACTCAAAGCGGCGGCTAAGCTGCTGCAGATCTGCGGAGGGAAACCTGTTTCGGGGTGGTAGCATGAAGGACCATGGCATCAAAACACAGCAAAGAAGAGTGGAGTGTTGTCACGGCGCAGGTACGTCGGCAAGCGTCCTTGCCGATATCCTAGGATCATGTGAGGAGCTTCGTTGGATGGAGCCTCACATGTCCTCTCCATCCCCCTGCCCATGTAAAGTGGAAAGAGTGGTGGTGGAAGACCCTTTGTCCAGGGTTGGACACACACACACACACACACAAAAAAAAAATGGCTCACGCGACCACGCAGCGCGCAGCACGTTGGATCCTACCACCTTACCACCTTCGAAAGCTGCGGGGCGACGAAGGCATCCCAGCCAAGCGAAAGAAACACCGCCTCGTACGGAAGCAGATAGAGAACACGTGCCCAAAGTGCCCCCCCAAAATCTCGGCCAAAAAAGGAACACCGAATAGGAAAAGAATGGACATGCAAACGTCCAAACATCATAGGCGTCCAACGTCCAAATGTTGCAGCCGTGGTCTACTTGTCTTCCTTCCTTCCTTCCTTCACCTTCCAAAAGCCAACAATCCCACCATCCCACCGGCCACCGTTTTAACGGCCACCCCGCACCTCCCAGGACAGCGAAATTCTTCAGCGACCTCGATCGCCGGTGGAAAATGCCGGGTGGACGACGAACGGTCGAACCGAATGGGCAGTGAGTGTGGGAGGAGAGGCTGTGGCCTTGTGGCCTTGGGTCCTTGGGTCCTTTGGTGGTTCTTTTGAAGTTAACTACTGGAATCCTGTTAAATATGTTCTCATATTCTCCCCCATACTTAATACTTATTTGATTCTGGAAACCTTGTTTAACAAAGCACGACGATAGGTGTCTGGATGTGGGACAAACAAAGGTGTCTGGACGCCCGGGTGTAGCACCTCCGACTCTGGGCGCCAAGTCCCCCCAAAGAGTCTTCCAGTTTCTCGGCCAAAGCCAGGCCCGAATCAACTCTCAGAAACCACAGGAGGACATCAAAATGTTCATCTTTCCAGCGGCGACAGGAAGGCTTCCGAGGACTTCAGTATGATTCAGTGACACACCACTAGTAACACGAAGCTACTAGGGGCACCTGACATCGCTACTAGGAGCAAGGACGCTACTAGGGGCAGTCACCAGCATGCCGTTCGGATTGGATCCGACAACGGCCACGCCCGAGTGCCCGGAGTCCTGTATGTTGGCCTCGATGCGAAGGCGAGTCGCACTTCATAACTATCCCCCGGTGGACGGTTCCGATCGATGGTATTGCGAACTCGGCCTTTGCATATTTGGGACACAGGTGCACTCCCTGAAAGAAACATAGAACTGAAACGTAGGCCCTGGAAAACCAATTTTCCTCTACAAGGGAGGCTGCTCAGTCTCCATGATTGTTTGAGGGACGGTTTCTCTGAACCGTGCTGGTTCGTAGAGAAGATACAGTCTCCATCAGTCTCCCATCTCAAAGCGCTAAACGGAACAGGGTTGAGCGAAGGCCGAGGTGCTCTAAAACCATGATGCTGACCTCAGGTCGCCATTGGCGAGTTCTCACAATATGGCGTCTCTGACCTCCACACCTCATAATGTTCTGGTTTCTACTTACATTAATTTCCCTCGGCACTCAGCCCTTGATGTGTTGACCCCACCACGCTTGATGAACAGTTCGTTCACCCTCCGGATCCAACCAAGCGGTTGAAAACAGTTGGGGGAACTCAGGTGGTGCTTGCAGGATGTACTCGATCGACATGACCGGCTGGGTCTACCTCATTTCACTCGCAATGAATAATAGTCGAGTCTATACTTCGATTATATGATATGCCCATGGTTTATGTAAAACTCGGACTACTACTATATATACATAAAAGTCAGTCCTGTTGGTCTATATATAAGGCCTTTTTCTGAAAAGCTCATGCATATTGAGTTCAAACTCCGCATCTCTGTGTCCTTCAAATGGTGAGTTCCTCCCCAGGTGGTAGGCCGTGCCAGGCCGTGCCCCAGGTGGTTCTAACTGATCCAGGGTACTCACCACGAAAGCCTTCCAGATTGCACAGGGCATGCAAACCAGACAACCAAAAACCGATGTCGAAACCCATCCAGCATCATCCAGCCATCACCTACCAGAAGAAAAGGTGCCTTCTTCCAAATGACGTGTTTCGTCCCAAACATAGACACCACCCCATGTCTCACACGTCAAGGCGCTGTGCAATACTTTAAGGCAGACAGAAGTGTCACACTCCGCTGGACCAGAACCTTGAACTCATGCTCCTCGAGATCAAGTCCCGGGCACGGGATGGGCCCGCGATCCCAAACCTGGGGCCCACAAACGAAAACATGCTGAAGAAATGTACGATTCTGAAGCAGAATCTTTCAGTTGATTGATCTACTTTGCCTTTGATAAAAGGATTCTCTCTCTCTCTCTCTCTCTGTGTCTCTCCCTCTCTGCAGGCCCCATGAGAAGGTAGGCAGGACCTCTGTAGTCCGTGATGGCCTTGAAAACGATTGCTTCACTCGCCGCGAAACGCGCTGAAAACAATAGGATAAGAAAAGACACTCCCAGCAAGTCCTAGCTCCTAGAAGTCGTAGCAGGGCAAATTGGATGTCACACTCCACGCGGGGGCGATCCAACAGAACAGGAGTGGAGACAGGAGTGCCATCTGCTCAGGTCTCTCCGTTGCACCGGTGCTAAAAACACACGCATGATTCACGCGCGTGCCCATGTTTCAACTGCCTCCCTCTGCAACTCCAATTGCCATAGTATAAGGTTCAGGAACCTGCACCATCTACAACGATGAGTTTTCAGGACACTGCTTCATCTACCTTGCTCCAGCCCACTGTCCACCCGCCCACATCATCGTCCGCTCCTGGAGTCCGAAGTCCGCCTGGGAAGAAGACGCTAGGACGAAGACCGCGCAGCTTCGGAGGCACGCGTCACTGGTGCCATGCAAGACCAGTTCTACAACCGAAAATTCACATGGAACCTGAAAATGGACCTTTGGAAGATGATTTTCCTCTGCAACCCAGTGGTTTTTCAGGTTCCATGTTAAATTTCCAGTGTGTAAGAACCTCTGAGGCCTTCCAATCACACCCCCAGAAACATCAGGGCTGTCCCGCTGAGGAGAAAACTCTCAAAAAGAAGAAGCTGGTGCTCTCCTCTACTAAGCCAAGGCTCTGGAGAGTAAGCATCCATCACTTCCTTCGCCAAATTCCGCTCCTCGTAGTCCAACCGACTCTCATCCCAGGGCGCCTGAGCCGGTGAGCTTTGCTCCCGTCCTCCGGACACAGGAGCTTTGCTGGGCTGGTGGGCTCAGCTCCTTGAGCCTCTTGTCATCAATCATCCGCCGCAAATCGATGGTCACGATTCCCACCACATCAACGTCCGCTCTTCCGGCCAAGCCCGCCAAATCAGCCGCCGACAAACGACGCCGAAAGAAAGGGCGCACACATTGGCCAAGGCTCGAAAGGGTTTAACGGCTTTAACGGTCGAACCTTTGCTGTTCCTTCCTGGCGAGCACGGAAGGAGAAGGACCCGAGGAGGAGTACAAAGATGCTGCAGCTTCGCCCCAGCCGTAGGAGACTAGCGCTAATAGGTTGGAGGCCATTACTACTAGCAACAAGAAGCAAAGGCCATCCAACCTAGTAGCTTCTTTTTACTAGTAACTAGTAGTCATGGCCTCCAACCGACTAACGATGGCCTCCAACCTAGTAGCGTCTTAATTGTTACTAGTGCGACATGAATGAGGCAGCCTTCCGCCTTATATCTTATAGGGTTACAGTACCTGGCCAGATCTGTTCAGTCGTTCTCAATCATGACACCCCATGTGGGGTGATTTGTCCGCTAACTGCGGTTTAGGGAATATAGAATTGCCCAAGCTCTTTCCAGCCCATGTCAAGGACTTGTTTGAGGGTTTAGGGAACGTGCGTTTAAACTTGCCTTTGCAGTTGGAACTTCATGGTTGCCACATGCGTATCCACGCTTCCGGTCCTAAAGCACCACGATGGGTTAGAGCCGGGTTCGGAAACTACAGTAATCGGTCGGATTCTGAAACTGGTATTCTGAAACTGGGGTTCTGAAACTGGAAAGTCAGATTCTGCAACTGGTATTCTGAAACTGGGATTCTGAAACTGGTATTCTGAAACCGGGATTCTGAAACTGGTATTCTGAGACTGGGGTTCTGAACTAGGATTCTGAAACTGGGGTTCCGAAACTAGG